GCGATTGACGAGGCTTTAGAATCTGCAATCCATTCTGTGGTAAATCACTTACAGTGCTATATGCCAATGAACTTTGGCGAGTGATATCCAAGTTGCTTGAGGGACCATTACAGGTCGGTAGAAGGGGTAAAGGGAGAGGGTTGGGGACGGATGATAAAGAGTAAAACAAAGGTTGGGATATCTGAGCAGTAGCTCAATTATCACTACCCACCCTGCTTGATGCAATGGGCAGCGCGGTCCTGATTATCCTGCGCGACGACCGATGCAATATGGAATTATTTTTTATGTGTATACACTCAAGTTTGGTGGACGGGNACTGCTAGGGTGTCCAGCCACTAAGCAGAAGAACTACTAGGGTTCTCGTCCAAAGCCTTTAGTTTTAACGAGAACCTAACCGCAAGGCAGCGGGGGAGGCGAAGTGGAGACCTATTTACTTGGATCGATTACTCCTCCACCGTTTTTTATCGACCGAAACGCCAAATTCCAGTCGAACCCCCAACCTGGAGGACCCGGAGACTGAACTTCGTCTGACCTCTACCCATCGACCTTCCAGGCATGATAAGATCTGCTGACTTCATAAAGCCATCCTGTGTAGCTCGTTGAATCACAGAGGTGCACAAGCCATCACACCACGTCAAGGTGTAGTCTCGTCAGTTTTAGTTTGCACAAGCCGTAGGAGAAAGACAGGAAAGTTGAAAGCAAAGTCAAATAGGAAATTGAGAATTTCGAAGTTGCAAAGAAAGTGATATGCACGAATGCCACTGTTTACGACACTCAGGTATATCATTCAGTGTCTCTAACCACTGATTACAATGATTCCAAGGTCCCCAACCAGGGAGTCCAACGCGACTTATATGACCCAGTGTCCTGGTTAGGATTTTCATATCCTCATACCAGATCTTATTTTGACCACCGTTGATTGTTTTCCACCCACGACCTGCCTCGACGAAAATCGCGCACTGTGGCGACCTATTTGGTGACATGCGTAACACATGCCCCAAACGACGTATTCTATAGAGGCCGGCCACTTGTTCCAGTAGGCATTTCCCTAAAACTGTTCGCCTACCCTCAGAATTGTTTGCCCACCAGATTTGTGCAATGCTGTTAAAATAGTTACAATACAAAACTAAACAGGATAAAGACTCAACTAGCTGCACTACCAAGTGCCGATGATCAGAGGGTTACTCCGTGGGAGAGAAGAGAATTGATGGTAATGGCCAGATAGACTTACCCAATTTCAAGGCATTACTGCCACACAGATCACAGCTAACCTCTGCGCTCGTCCGCGGGCCATCATGATCCTCCTGGGGAAGCGAACCAGGTTGTGTGGGTTGTGTTAAGTTGGAAGAGGACGGAGTGAAACGCCAATCAGCGTTCCCGGAATTACTGTTTCCGCCTACCGCTGTGCCAGTCACAGCAGGTGGAGGGTTACTGGTATCAATCACCGGTTTCAGCATGTTAGCCTCCATATTGGACGCGTTGGCACAGGTGTAACGACTAGAATTGGAAGAGCCAGTAGTGGGAACTAGAACACCTTTGGTCATCAGCGGGATAGTTGTGCTCGTAGGGGCTAGATTAAGGCCGTTATTATTTGTCACGTACGCATTTGGAGGAACGTGTTCACTGACTCCGACAACAATCGGATTTGGTGCCTCGCTGCACCGTGGTGTGGCTTCCGATTCACCCCGATCCCCCCCAGGCTGTTGTTGTTGCTGCTGCTGTTGTAGTGACTGTTGGTGATGCTGCAGTTGCTGATGGTGGTGTGAGTGATGTGAATTGTGATGATGTAAACTGACGTGACCGGCTTCATCTGTACTAGCACAAGACACTCGAGCCGATCTATAGGCACCTTGAGAATCGTCCTCGCGCTCTTCACTTTCCTGTTCCGCATCTGGATCATCATCATCCACTTCATCGTCATCATCATCAAAATCCTCCGGTTCTTCAACATCATCCTGTTCCTCCTCGTCTAAATCACCCTCCTCTCCATCATCAGCATCGTCATCTGTTCCGGTTCGATCGAAGCGGGAATACTTTTTGTTTGCATCCGCACGTGTCAGAACGTGTGTTCCTGTGCTGTTAGCACCTCCACATGATGTGCTGCTGTTGCTGGTGGTGTTGTGATTAGTATTCCCGGAACCGGAACCACCATGAGTAAGAGAGAAGGGAGTTTGACACTTGCATTCGGATGACTGATTGGCATTGGACACAACGACCAAAGTCACATCGGTGAGGATTTGTTTGAAAAGAAGACTTCCAATATCTTCATGAAGATTACACTCGGGTACGGTGATAGGTTGAATGTTCACTTGACCACATTCAGATAGGGTTTCTCCGACAACCGAAACCTGATCGAGGAGGAAAAATGTACAAACTGATGAGTGTAAAATTCTAGCTACCATAATCATAGCAACGGTGATGAACAAGAATAAAATGACTTAATACACACACACACACACCGCCAGTTAGAGAAGTAAGGGACTGAATGGCTGGAAATTATTTTCCGTGTGATGCGAGCGTATCAGGCCTTGGTGAACTGTCTTGGAAGTACAATGCAGTGTCCGTCCGGCTCCATCACAGATAGAGATAAATGAGCGAGCTGTATCATACAGAGTTGATATGAAACCAACTGATGAAGCCAGCATAGGAAGCCTAATGGTAATGCGTGGGCCTGAATAGTGTAAAACCCAAGGCTGTCAAGCACTTGGTAAATTCAGACCACCGCTGTGCAGCGGTCTCAAAGCTTTGCACTGCCATGGGTGGCACTTGAATATCGTATAATAAATTGTTACCTATCCTTCCCTCACACGCACGCACACTGGTACCACGTGCAGCGGTGAACAGTTATCAGATAAGTTAGAACACAAAAAATCAACGATTTAGCTCCATGTTCCTGACCCAATTAGTCTGTTTAAATAGATGAACTTGATGGCATGTGCCAACACGGTAACTACAAAGCGAAGCATGAATAGCCGTTCAAATGCGATGGGAGATCACACCCATAATGCAGGCATTTCAGAGTGATATACTCACAGGTTGAGGTTTTATGGTTTTCACAGTTAGTTGAATAGATTAGGACGACGAACTTCGATGGGGTAAGACACATAAAGTTCTATGATCGTATTCCGGAGTCGGGACGTGCATTTCATGATATCAATTGACAGAACAGTATGACCATTTTCAGAGATCGGGTCAAAAATGCGACAAGGAAACAAATCAGCTCGGAAAATTAGGTCGATAAGATACATAATACTCATAGAAACGCCACACACACACACACCTTACTACAAGTTACATTCAGAATACACATTCAGACGCACCAGCGTGTCATGTGAAACAATTTGAAGCACGTGCAGCTAAACAAACAAGCGCGGCACAAAGATTCACCAACAAAGACGTACTGTCATAGTTTTGATCGGTATTTATTCACTCTAATTACAGACGTTTACTTTGAGGACTCAAAATGTTCACAACAGCTTGCTCAGTTGTGCAGTCACCTAGCCCAGGTCACCCCGAATTCACTGGACTGAGACCAGGTGACCACTAATCTAACGCCTAAATGCTTTAACGTAACGCATAATTTAACCATATCGGATATGATGTACCGGTATGACAATCGAGCGGTCATCCATGTTCTGATTTGAGCAATTGTGCACTGAGAAACCGAATGTATGATCTATAGTACTAAGGTGGTAGATGAGTCTCAGGTGAAGTGCCGTTTAATAAAAACTGAAACATCTAGGGTACCACCACGACATTCAATTGTCCATGAAGAGTCGATTTCATACTGCAATTGTGTGGTCCCTTTTCATGTATGGCACAGAGGCAGGAGAGAGACTATCGGTGTTCGAATACCGCCGTCTACGTCAATTTGCACTGGTGGGGTAACCGAATAAACAATACCGAGGTTAAACGAAGAGTAATGGGTAATCACTGTGGCCCACTGGAGCAAATACTTGACTTCCAGTAATTATTCTATCTGGAGCCTATTGTACGTATATCACCAGATAGGCTCTCTCGGCGTGCGATGTTTAGCGAGACAGGCAATGGGATGAAAATGAAGGAACAGAATAAGACCTAGCATAGTGAAAACCCTGACATACGTGTCGGATTAGGCTTTCCGATAACGATGCTCGGGATCGGTCAAATCGACGATTAGTGGTATGGCTGGGCACCTGAAAGATTGGTGGTCGTGTATCTCCTCAATTTCTCCGCAAATTTCATTTAACTGTATTCGGTATCGTCTAGTTTTCTTCTCTTTATTCCTTAATCCTAATGGACGGGCAAACTAGAACAACTGAGACCAACATACCAAAGCACATGGTCAATGGTTGTATGAACTGAATTGAGCTTACATCTCTGATTTGAATGAACAATTTCTGGGTGCCACGGGAAGTTTATTATTATGTCTACCGATGTTTTGGGCGAGCAAAACTTGATGCGTCCGCGAAACCGGGACAATCGATATATCAAAATTTGTAAGAACGGATAGTTCCGAATAATCCCGAAAACTATATTAGAAATCTATCATTTATCATCCGAAACGATTGTCAAACTGGGGCTCTTTCTTGGTTTAAAATACTGTATTCCTCCCGAGAAAATCAATCCGGCGGATTCACAAGCTCGTTTTAAATATTTATTCGATCAGTTATCGTGAGTGAGACCGACCTCAAAGGACACCAAAGCATGGTTTGAAGCAAGAGTTGTTTATCTGAAACGCCAATATATATGCATCCTATCTCGGCAGAGGAGCCTTCTAAACGACAATCACAAAAAAGCCTTAGAAGGCGTGAGATGAAACAAATATATCATCATTTTACAGCCCGACGAAGGATCTGGAGTCGTAATTCTGGATAGAATGGAATACATAGCGAAAATCGAAGCCATCCTGGAAGATGCATCTAAATTTCGAAACTGCAGCCAACAAAACAATTTGGCAAGCCTAGAAAGAACCATTTTACAAGATGAACAACTACTACTTGAAGCCTCACGGAAGCTAGGCTGTACGGTTTACTCAATTTACACAAACTCGGGATAGCCTTAACTGAGCAACTCTCCTCAACACAAGCTACTCAAATGGTTGAAAATACTAAGATCAGTCACGAACACACTGGCGCGCTACAATATTGAATAGTTTCGAATTAACCGAGTCTCTCGACAACATGGACACTAAAGACCAGCATAGCAATGACATCACTGTTTAACACCATGTCACCGCACGAAACAGTGGATTTCATCTGTGGTTGTAAATACCAAGAAAATGTCAATGTGGAAAATTCCTGTTACGGAGCTGAAATGCCTCATCCTGAGATGCACTGAAAACATATACTTCAAATTCCAAGGCACTTCTTTTCGTCAGGTTGACTGCGTTGCCACGGGGGTCCACTAGGACTCATACTGGTGGGCATCCTAATGCAAGGCTTTCTTGCAGCTGTTTGCACGTCGCCTGAAATCGACAATCGAACAGTCATACGGTGCCACCGACCCTGTCCTAGTTCACATATACCCACAACCACCCGTCCCCCAGGCAAACAGCTGTTGCCAGTTCATGGCACTTATACGTGTTCACGTGTGGGTGCTCGGCCACCTACCTAGGCCAAACTGAACGGCCACTTCGACTGAAAGTGACCGAAAATCGCCCACGGTGGGTGGACACTTTTGTCAACAAATCGGAACCAGGTCAAAGGTCATCGATTAAACAGACACTAGCCTCTTCTATCGCACGTCATTTGCTTGAGACAAAGCATCGGTTTGATCGAATTATGTACTGCATTCTCCGTGCTCCTTTTCAACACTAATTCACGTGTACTGCAGTTTACTAAAGCAATTGCGATTATGTGTAGGCAAAAGGAGTTATTCGTTAACTTGGCAAAACTATGACAGTTGTGAACTTATCAATGGTGATTTTTATCAATTTACTGTGATCATGAATAGTATATATGCAATATTATGTATGCATCCGATGAGATACAACGAAATATGTCCGGATTCAAATTGAGCAACGTAAACCTACTGTTATCTCTACTCATGAGTTTACAGTAACCGGCATCCTGACACAAGCGACCCGAATTGAAGATTAAGTTAGGACTCGACTAGGACAGGAGCTGCTTCGAGCCGAATGACAGCGATAACATCAAATCAGCAACACTGTGTGATACTATCCCCAAAACCACTCAAGGGTAGTGTTTATGTTTGCCAATAAAACTAACATCATATCCTTAGTTGTTGTGGGAAGTAAAGAAAAGAGCGGAAGTTAGGTCTTGGGAACAACAACGAAGTGATGTGATTTTTCAACTGGGATTTTCAGAATTGTTAAACTGACCTCAAAAGCACCCAAGGTTCGCGTGCATAGCTCGTTATAAGATTTTGTAGAGTTTGGAAGTTTAAAATTTTAAAGCGTAAACCTACCTCACACAAAATAGTTAATCGGTCGTTCGGCAAAAGGCCGTTGGCTTCATCCATTAGCACATCACGTCGGATAAACTTTTTGAATCCCCAGTCTTTCCCCTGTACAAATCGATAGGCACGTTGGCTTTCTGAAATCGAAAAGTAGCATTTCAGTGGAAACTATTATCAGAAATTGACCAGCTTCTTTAGGAAAAATTGATTCGTTTTTTTGTTTTTACGCATCGTAGTTTAGTAAAATTTAGCGCAAACAGAGGTTTCAGGAGGACCAAGGTACAAATGTCAATGCAACAGCTATGAAAACATGATCCATGGCATCTTATCTGGCCTCTCAGATTCGACGATTTTAATATTCGAGGGAACGATGACACTGGCTTTTAGAGGATGAGTTGTGATTTCAAAACCGGTTAATATAGATGTACCTTCATTATTTACTTATTTACATTATTTGATATGATATCTGGATGGAGTACGAAATTACTTCACATTTTATGACGACATAGAAACGAGGCAGTTTTGGAAATTCGTTCTGTAAACGCAGTCAACGTCCCTCGCCAAAGGAAACGTGAAGCAAGCTACAGAGTGAGGGCTAGTCCACCTGGTGCAGTGCACAGAAGTAACAACTCCTGAAGCTGGAGTTCGAATTCCAGGAGGTTCATTGTATAAAGATTCTTAATAATACGGGCGCAGAGCACAGTACGCCCAACGTTTTTCAAAGGTGTGAAACATGTTGTATCTGATTCCCGGATAAAAGTTATCCCGAACTATGAATTTAGAAAACTACAACGATTTTATTATAAAATGGATACCTCACCGATACCGGCAAAATTGTGCGGTTTCAGGATCAGCCACATCAATACATTTAGGCAATTCCAGCAAAAACAGATGAGCGATCAGTTCCTCTTCCATTCGTGTTTCTCGCTTTCCAAGTCACGCTTGATAATACAGCGGGACCACTTTTTTGAACGAAAAGATATAAATATATTGGTACTAGGCCAACGAGGGACAGTAATCTGATGCCATGTACGGCAAACGCACCAATTAATGTGAAAGCAGATAGGTCGACAGTATCCGACTGGGGATTTTGGCGATTCCGTCAAAGTTCAAGAACTAGTCAACTAACTGACTGATACATATTTTCAAAGAAAAAATGACTGAAATGTTTACCCACATTGATAGATTCCTGAACGTATGGTAATCGAAACTCACGGATACAACCCGTTTACATTTGATAGGCTTGTTTTGAAAACTCAAATCATGCACACTACGCTTATGCTTTTACTCAGAACAAATTTCTACGGGCATATTAGCCACCACGATATCGTTTTCATGTTTTGACGAACTAGTGGTTTTCACTAAGTGTGTCACGCGCGCGCAAGCATGAGATGAAAACAAGAAAAGATTGGTTATCGGGATCACCTCTTTCAGAACAGATGAGGCAGTCATCCCCAATCCAAATCGAATCCACTCGAAACCAGATATGCTATTCAGTTATTGGCACAATCCGGCAATGGTACACTTATGAGGATACAATGGATTCCACACTTGGAATTGGTGCGTTATACGTGGTTTGTTCCTCGAGAGTCTGCATTTACTTACGAGTATTATTAGGTCCCAGTTGCTTGCACCTAATGCGGATAATGAACAGTGATAAATCACTTGGAGGGGGTAACGGAATCCGTGCGAATGAGTACACTTCGTGAAAATGGATAAGTGATATTTACAGTGAAAACAAAAATCTCGTCTCCAAGATTAAGGAACGTGACAAAGTTTGATGATTTAATTTAGCGTCAGCCCTCATAGTTGACACGGACTCTCAAGGGAACCCACTGAAAAAAATAGCGAAGCATACCCATGGCTTTAGTTTCCTCCCGTTTGGCATTTAAAAGGGAAAACTTGAACTTTGCACGCGCTTCACTTTTGGTTCCGCAGTTAACAAGCAGTAGATAGAGCGAGAGGTATTCCCGGCTTTCTTCATCTAAACCCTTGGGATTGATTCGCAAACACCTAAATAAACAACAAAACAATGGAGAGTCGTCTTAGATGAATGATTGTGTACCATTTCAGTTTGTCGTTCGGGCCGCATGAGAAAAAGGAGCTCTTTACAACTTCACCCATCTCCTCGCGGCAAAAGCTGAAGTTGCTGATGGTCCACACGTACTTCATTTTTGTGACCCGTACCTATACAGTTTGGATGAAAGAGTAGAGGAATCAAAGGAAGTTGGAGTTACCTGTGTGTGACACCAGTACTCAGCTACAACGGGAGGAGTGAGAATATCCAAAGGGGGTGGTGAACTGGTTCTGCTGACGGTTGCCACTTGTCCGTCCGTGCTATCTAGCGTGGCCCGCAGGGCGTCCATCGCATAACCTGTAACAAATGAACAGTTTAATAGATTGATACATGATAAAAATGAATATCAAGATAGTCAGGTTGCCGTACAACCAAACCCATTTTTCTTGTTAGAAGAGGATATCGTCCTTGAAATAATGGAATCTATTAAGTGCATTGCTGAATGTGATGCAGCAAGGATTGGGAGGGCAAATGCCATTAAACAAGACTCATAGGAACAGCAACAAATCCAGATGCTGCATGTGATCACCTTAACCATTACAGCAAGAGACAGCGGTATGAGCAAAGTAATACAAAAAACTACGGCTGAGTTATATGTATTCACGATTAGTGACACAGCAGATTGTGTAATTTGGTGATGCAGTGATTTAATCGCTGTCACCGGCGTGCTCCGAGGTTTGAACCCCACCACCGCCACCCAGCTTTTGGTGGTGGAAGGCAGATTTGCTGTCATTCGATTCAACACTACACTTAAACTAGCGGGTCCTCAAGATGTTCTCCATTCCAAATCCTGGGATCAGGTTGTCGGTTTCCATCAGTGAATAACAGGCCTTCGCCAACATGGGGTCTACCCCGTCTGTTGTTCATCACCCAAAAATGTTTTAAAAACCTGTAAACTGTGTCCTCAAAAGCCACAGTTTCTCCTGGGTTGACAAGGCCTCAATTTTACCCCAAAAATGGAGTGCTCTTTACAAAGAATCCGCTGGTGAAATACTACTCGTCTTGTGGCGACGGTGTTTTCATCAGAATAGAGGGGCAAAGAGTTGATACTTGGGGTTGTAGTGGGGATTTAGGAAACACAAGTGGTGCATCGGAGAGGGCCCGAAACCCCTGATCTCAAATATATATATATATATATATATTTAGTACCAGCTTTAGGTTCGTGAACTCTTTTCACGACCCCCTAGTATTGGTTATGGGCTTAATTGAACGTTGGGGTATAACGGACACGTGGACTGTGCCACATGTAAGCGGCATTTCACTAATAGAAAACCAGTCGCTGATGAAAAGCCTTTCTGATACAACACACCGTTGCCAAATGGGTGAGATTTTGACTGGGTTCTGGCTATCAATCCCAAAACAATATTCTACTTTGTTTGAGAAAACTGATGGTATTGCATTCAAATAAAAATTCAGGGTCAGATTGCCGGCTACCTCTCATTTAACTATGAATACCACAACTAACAAGATCCTTTATCAAGCGCATTCCCACTAACATTCGCGGCTCGAACCCCAATATTGATTCTGTTCACCAATTTCTTCAGTCCACTTCATCTCTTGCTTTATTTTTATATGAAACAAGTTTCTTCTACAAACATTACCCATCTTCGGTTTCCCAATTATGCTTTTCACACTTCATTCATCCCCAAAGTTGATGTTCGTGCTTTTATCCATCATTCAATTGCTTATACCGTTCTCCCAAATAAATTTCATTGGCCGCAAGTTCCAGACTGTGACTTCAGTTCCCTTCTTCCAATCACTACTTCTGCAATGTATCATTCATCATCATCATCATTGTAAAGCGTAATACAGTGAAGCAAACTTCACTGATCGCTACCAAACTCGTAATGCATACAAAGTAAGTGAGAATGTGGAAACATAATAGAGATTGGGCCTAATTTTAGGGACAGAAAAAGAAGGTGAACCTCTAAGGTCAACACAAAGTACACAATCCAATTGCTGATACATACTGCTTCAAGCATTCTGGTCGGATAAGAAGTGACAGCAAGATCGCCAATGCTGTCGGTTTGCAACCAAGAGCTTTAGTCTCTTTTCTTCCCATTTTACCTCCTTTTATTGAATAAACAATTTTCAGGGAGGAAGCCGCCAATCAAAGGGCTGCCATTCAATACACACTGGGGAAGGTTTGGCGGTGGTGAGGGTATTCGAACACATTCCCGGGGTGATACTATAGTGACGATACCGCCAGGTCACTACCGCCCAACCATGTGGTTACGAAGTCTTTTGAACCCGAACCCGGAAGACGAGAGACATCTACTCTACCTACTTAATCGCTCTGGGCATCTCTTCATGACGCGTCTCCACGCCATCTGCTGACCTTCACGTGGCTTTCTCCGGTCTGCAATAGTCACAGCAAATGAGGCGCGCTGCAGTAGGCGACCGTCGGACATATGTAAAACGTTTCCTAACCGACGGAGCCTAATGGACGGCTGCTGAGATTTGCAGAGGCCATAGCAATCAAGCGCTAAAAGCCACTGCTGTCAACAAAAGGAGGTCTACATCAGTCTGGCATTGCCCTGGTAACCAAGTAAGCGTAAGAGTGAATTGATACCATGTTAGATTATCAACACCTGTGATATATAAACTGTTTTGTATTCTGCAGTAAGCACCAGATGAGATGCAGCGAAATGATTCAGGAATTAAATCATGCTCGCAAAGGACCAAGCGCCTCAAATAGCTTCTGCTGAGGAAGTCCTACCCACTGCCTTCTCGTGGCGGAGGTGTTAACACTAAAGTAGGAGGATAAAGACGACTGCTCGGCGCTTTCCACCGGGTTGGCTGACCACTGGTAGTCAGTCTAGGGGAGTTGGCTAAACCCTGATTTCAAACCACCGACACCTGGCGTAAGAAGCTCATAGTGGCACCAATCTTCTGCGCAACCGAACCGGTCTCAAAAGTTAATCCTAGGAGTTGACCACCGTAATGCTCACCGGCAGGTGCGAGGCTCAAGGGCAACCTGGGTACCCTGGATAGTTGGCCGCATCCGAAAGGCGTATGAACTGAACCCC